TCTTTTAATAAAATAGATAATAATAACAGTGTTTTTAAAATAATATTGATATATGTGTAGGTGAGTATTTAATATGCAAGTGTGTGAGTGGTTGATGACTGGGCTCAGTCGTGTAAACTTATGCATGTATATTGACGTTATACCTGTTGCTGGGAAACTAAACTTCAATATACTTATCATGATCATTTTTTTTTTTTTTTATTATAAAACTATGCGCGTACTTATACTTACTCGAGTAGTCAAGCTATATATATTAATATATAACCCGTTAATACTTTGCATAAAAGAGCTTGAGGCTTGAACATACTCAGCCAGTTGGTCAAATTGTGGTTTCATAAAACAAATCCGTTGCTAATCGTCATTAGACGTATAAAAATGGAGGAAAAAAAATTAGGGCAGGATTTTCACTTTTAAGTGGGTAAACTTAGAAATTTGTCATTCAGTTCACATTTTTTTTTTTTTTCAACTGATACTACTACTATAGGGTACTTTTTTTTTCTATTTCCGCTGGAAAATTTGTGGCTTGGAAAATTGTTTTATTTTTTTCACTTGTTTGTTTTTAATTGAAATTTTTTTTACAAGTTTCTATTACGTAATTTTTTTTTTCTCAGTAATAAAAACTAGGAAGAGTTTAGTTTTTACTATAGTTTTTTTTTTATTAGTTAAAGTTTTTAAATGAAGAGGATATTACTCTTGATTAGATCGTGGGAATAAATATTTTTTGTCAGTATAAATATATTGTAAAAATATTCCCAAAACCTAGAATTCTACAATCTACTTAAAAAAAAACTTGATTTTTAAACAGTTTTATTTTTATTTATCATATAAAACTCGCTTTTTTATTAAATTAAATTTTTTATCATAATTAAAAAACAGTTATTGATCTTTTTTTTTAAATTATTTTTAAAATAATATTCATTAATTTTATTTTTTTTTTAGCAGTAATTCATCAATAATTTTCTTTTGATGTCAATCCATAATCAAGTAATTAAAAAAAGTCCCTTAATTTTTTTTTTTTTAATAGTGTAATTTAAATAAAAAAAATTTTATCTTCTAAAGAAAGATTTTAATCACACTTTCAATCAATTTCATTTTCTCATATCCTCACAATTAAAATATAATTTTCCCATTTTAAAAACAAATATATAATCATCCTTCCAAGTAATTAAAATCCCCCCTAATAATAAAAAAAATTTTCAATCAACAATTACCAGAAAAATAAAAAATAAAGTAGTACTAAAAATGTCGCATTACTGTTACTATAAAGTAACTCCTTAAATAACCTTAACAATGTACGATAAATAATTTTTAAAACAACATGTTATCTATCCCCTGAAGCAACGGAAGTAATTTCACGTTTAATATATAAAACATTGAATATTTACCATAAATCTACCTTCTATTTAATCTATTTAGAATAAACGAGCGTGGGTTTTAAAAGACTCGGTTATATTACTTACACCTATAATAAATACCGTGTACACCGACATATTTTAAATATAAAATCTCGTTATATAGACCAACGTCATTTATTAAGAGTCTCTTCTCATCAATGACCAGCTTTCATTTAAAATTTTTTTCCCGATCTACACGTTTATTTTATCACTTGCATTGGCAACCCGTTCTAGTTTGATCTGCTCGTATCTATCCTCATCATATCCTCGCAACTCCTCCTATCTATCCCGGGAAATTTACAAGAGTAAAGAGTAAAGATAAAAGTACCTTTGCCAAAGATATAGGTATGGGTAAAGCTAAAGCTAAAGCTAAAGAGGTTGTTGTCGTGGTTGTCTAACCACTGCTTACCCGGTATTCAGTACCGAGTACAGAGCTGAAGCCAAAGGACTATTTTTCCTTTCCGCAAAACCTTTATAAATTATACCAAAAGAAATAAATAAAGCGTGAGGTTAGTCGAAGTCGAGGTGATCCATCCCCATGCGATTGGCGGACTCGAGAGCTAACAATCTCAAAGTAGTTACACGCGATTTCTGGTTGGTTGGTAAGTAGGACTAGCGGGGATTCATAGGCAGGACTCCTCCTAGGAGAGATCACAGTTGTATTCCAACTTTCCTGCCGGCAACAGCCGCGTGTTTACATCAACAACGGGTTTATTGTTGAAGGCCGAATCAGTACCGAGCCAGACCTCGTAGTTCAGATACCTCAAGTACTGTCTAATCCAGTTTATACCAAGTTCAAGTACTTATCACATTACACAAAATTATTTTTCATTTTTTTTTAAGTTAGTTAATACTTTTTATTTTATTTTTTATTTTATATTTTCTGGTGCTTGTGGAGTTTGTGCATGTCGTGTCAACAATTAATAAAAAAAAATAATATTGCATTGTACTGTAAGGTTTTTATTTTAAAATTTAATGATTTTTTACTTTCATTTCTCGAAATTAACGAATCGCGTGCGTGACTCTGGCTGTTAACTAATATAACAAGTGATTTTAAACGTAAAGGTAAACCCGTATACACAGTAGGTAAGAACAAAAAATAATAATTATTAAAATCGTACACAGGTTTATGACAATTAACCATAAAATAAAATAACAACCAAAGCATCAGAGCATCACCAAGAGCCCTGTTATGTCTATCTATTGTTGAAAGTTTTAAGCTTCTTAATGGCCAATGTGATAGCTTAAGACCCGAATCAAGCTATCGTATAAGTTTAAGAGACATTAATTCAATACTTATAATAATAATAATAATAATAATAATAAATAATGACGATGACAAATCGGGTTTTTAAAATAAAAACTAACATGGTCGCGGTCTAATTGTAGGACCAAAGTGTGTCATTTTTGGGTGGTAATAAAAATCGTGTTTGGAGTAAAATATTATTTCGGACCGTGAAAATGTTAGGGTTATTTAAAGTTTACTTCCGTTACAAGTTACAACAACAGTGAGTTCATCGCACGCAATCAAATGCAGCGCCGGCGAACCTTGACCGTGGCCAAGCGCGTTTTACTCCAGTCAGCCGAGTCGCGTGTATTCGCGTTTATATTTATATATACATATATAAACTTATTTTATATATATGTATGTGGATATATGGGTGTACTTGCATCATATATATAGATATTTAGTACATAGTGTTCTTAGCGTTCACCTTCAAGTCGCGCGCTCTCATTCCTCTGGAGCGTAACGAAAGTGCACGGGCAACCTGTCCCACAGAGAATGATACTATTTTAATTTTTTACACGCTTAAAAATGCCCTTCAGATAATATGTAATTTAATATCGATTACTAGTTTTTTTATTGTTTGTAAAAGTAATTTATGATAAAATAAAGTAATATGATAAAGGTAATTTGATACACTGAAAAAAAAAAAAAAAAAATAAATCTTGGCTTAAGAAAATATTAAGGTAGATTGAAAATTTCTTGAATTAAGTCAAAGTTTTTTGAGCCAAAAAAATTTCTTCTTGCTCTAAAATAATTTTTGTGACTCCCGGAAAAAATAGATATGAAAAATCCATATTATTTCAGATTTATTAAATTATTTTTATTTTATAATAATTTCAATGAAATAATATGAATTTTTCATAATTTAAAAATTTTTTGGCGCAAAAAGTTTTTTTGAACGATTTTAATAATAAGATAAATAAATAAAAAAGCTTTTGTATTTTTATTTATTTCTTGGCTTACTTTTATTAAAATTAAAATAGTCTGTGAATTTTGATCCTGTCATCTCGGTTAAAAATTAACTGTACCGTTAAGGCATATTCATCCTTTATAAACGCTCTTTTTTAGCTTGTATTAATATATGTATATATTTAATGGTTTATTTGACCACCTTTCAGCTTCAATTGTAACGCAATAATTAGTGTATTAAAAAAATGAAAGCGTTGGAATTAGAACAAAGGATGTTGATCTATCTGGTGAATTAGTTTTGAAAATTTTTGGCGGTGAAACTTGTTATTCTATTGTATTAAACATTAATTAATTAGTTTGTTGATGATCATTAAAGATAATATGGTAATTTTTAATTTTTTTTTGTTGGCAATATAGAAGATGCAGTATGAATGGAACGACAGAAACGCATAACGTGAGATCAATTTGCATTATTCTCACAGTAAGGAATAGAAGCTAACCGTTTAATTGTCACGTCATTTATTGTTAACAATTATTTAGTAAGTTCAAGTCCAAGCAAATTATTTTTATTAAAAAATTTTTTAGTTTTATATATTATTAAATCTATTTAAGGAAAGAAAGCTTGTAATTAGAGTATTAGAGTCGCTTCTAGTCTTTTTATGATCTTGTTTTATTTTATAAAAGTAAGTGAACGATTGTCAGTTGAATTAAAGTGTCAGTAATGCTGAGGAAATTATTAAAAATTTAATTTTTTTTTATAATTAAATTTTTAGTAAGAAAAATTTTTTAAAAATTACAAAAATTATTTTTGATAAAAAAATTTAATTGTTAAAAAAAATCATGAAAATTTTTCAATTTTTTGATGAAAAATCATAAAAATTTAATGGGGAAAAATTTTTTTTATTTCAAGTAAATATTTCTTGATAATGTAATAAAATTTTTTTAATTATATTCTTCATTAAAAATTTTATTTCTGAAGAAAATTAATTTTTTTATCAGTGTTTTAATTTTAATAAAATTATCAGCAAGAGATTAAAAATTAAAAGAGTAAAATTTATTTCTAACAAACATTAAAGAGTTTAAATTATAATTGTTGCTATTATCGAAGAAGAAACTAATAATAATTGAAATAAAATTAGTAATTGAGGCATTTAAAGTAATGTTGATTGTAAATTGTAAATAACGTCGCTCTGTGCTGAACGAATTATAATGGGAGAATTATGAAAATATAATGGATTGTAAATTCTGTTACAGACTTGAACGTGGATTGTCGAATGGTGTGTGTTCAACACCAGCTGACTAATTGAGCATACTGAACAGTCAAAGTGATTTATTAGATAATAGTGATAATAAAAAAATAAGAAAAAAATAATAATAGCAAATAGAAGGACAAATTTATTTGATTCGCGATGAAATTGTCATTTCTGGTGATTATGGTATGCAGTGGCTGCTGTATGTCCCTACCATCAACAATAATTCCGACTTCCACCCGGAATTCCTCAAACTTGAGCAAGAAAACGACCTCTCTTGCGAATATCACGGCCTCTCCGTTAGCAACGCGTGCTAAAGTCTCTGAAAATGCCATTACCACTGACTCGATGAGCACCAGCAGCACCAGTATCTCTGGAATCACTACCAGTGGTGCTGGTACTGGTACCAGTAAAAGCAATAGCAATACTGATAATAACAATAGCTACGGCGGTAACAGCAGCACCAGTGCCAGTAGCAGCAGCAGTTATAGTGCCGGTGCGAGTACAATTGCTTATAAGAAAATTCAGCTGGAACAAGTTCAAGTTACTTCGCCTAGCCCGTTATCATCCAAAGAGACTCGTGAGTCGCCACCCAGCAAAATTCGACCGCAGATAAAGCTTCATATAAATTACACCAGTGTCGGCGAGGTGAGAACCTATTTATTATATTTTATATTTTTATTTTATGGACATTTTTTACCAGCAATTTTGCGGTCTTTTCAGTCTTTCATTAAATATTTATTTATTTTTCTTTGTTGGCATTTTCAGGTCTTGAAGGAATTTTTAAATTAGACTAGTCTTTTTAAATGACTGTTTTGTTTTTTAATTTAAAAATAGCTTGGATGAATGAAAAATTTTTCAGAGTTGGAAATTATAAATTTAATTTAACAAAAGTAAATACATAGAAAAAAAGATTTACTTGAGCCAAAAAAATATTTTTCTTCCTAATTATTTTCTTGAGCGAAAAAAAATTTTTTTTGACAAGAAATTTCACTTATTCCAACAAAATTAATTCTCTTGTTTTAAGAAATACGTATCTTGATCCAAGAAAATTTATTTTCTTAATAGAAGTAAATTTTCTTGTCTTGAGAAAATTTCTCTTGCTTCAAAAAATTAAATATAAAGATAGAAGTAAATTTTCATTAATACTTTTATTGATTAAAATGTCAAAAGAGAAGATAAAATAATATTCCATCATTTTTTTTTCATTTAATATGTATAATTGCACGCTAAAATAATATAAATTGAGTATTAAATATTAGAGAAATATTTTCTCAAGGTGAGAAAATTTTTTTCTCAGCTGAAGTAGGTGACGCTGCTTCCCTAAAATATCTAAAAATCTTGATCAAATATAAAAATTTGTATCAAGTATTTATGATAATTTGAATTAAGAAAAAATTACTTCCACCAAGAATATAATTTCAAGAAAAATTTTTACTTCGGTATTCCTTCAGGCACCCGACAAATTTTCTTGAGCCAAGAATTTTGTTCTCCAGTCAAGAAATTTTCCTTTTTGTGTACATATATTTTTTTAGTGACTTCTCAAGAAGAATGTATTAAAAAAATATATATTTAACACAATAAAGCAATTTTTAAAAAATAACCTGAGATTAAAAAAAAATCAATGATATGTAATTAAAAAGAAAATAATCAATCTAACGTAATAAATCACTTCTCTTTACTCGCGAACAGTAATAATACTATTTTCTTGTAAATGCAATACGGAAGTAATTTAATGATTACTCTCCAGAAACGTAACAATTAAATGTCATAATCTATTTTGCTCGCTGTTAAATCTATAAAGTCTATTAATTAAAAGCGTTTTATTTTCTTATCTCAGTAGTTATTGTTTTCTTCTCATAATTAATTCTAAAAATTTTACTTTTTTCTTTTCTTGATAATCAAAAATCTAGAAACCCTTTTCTTCTTACATTATTATTATTATTTTTAATGTATAATGTACTTTATATGTTATTGTACGTAGAGATCCCCACGGTCAGAGTTTAAAATTCCTCGGAAGCTAATTCGAGATAGAATCAAATGTCACGAAATTTTTCAGTAGCCATAAACCGTCTGGTTCGCCCCCGTTTAAAAAAGTAAAAGAATAAAATAAAACTAAAAGATATCTTTACGAGGTACAAGATAAGTACATACGATCGTGTATGAAATAAATCTCATTGTCATTGTCTTTCTTCCTTGTTGTCCCGTGAAATAGTATCACACGTGAGAGTGGAGTGTATTATTGCAGTATGCACAAAGGAGGCCATGTTGTGGTACGAATCAATGCAACAAATACATGCATACATCCACCTCGACGTCGACATTTACATCTACATATATACATAAATATATAAACATGTATGGAGAAAGTTCTCTCTTCTCTTCTCTTCACTCGGAATTTTTTTTTATTCATCAATACAATCTTGTATTTATTGCTCCCATGACTCTTATGAGAGTTGCGCCAAATCCTACTTTATAATAAAAACTTTGTCTTGAGCGTACTTGATGTGCACTTCTGCATACTTTCTTTATTTTTAAAATCCATGACATTTGTACTTGTCGTGATTAATTATTAAACCCACCATCTATCTGCCTACCCTACTAATATAAATATATAAATATATTTTCTCCTTTTATCCAGTTAATCATCATCAAAGCTAATTTAATAGAATGAAACCCACAAAGCAAACATCACCAAGAATAAATTGAAGCTATTAAACAAACTCTTCTATTAATACTAATATTAATAATTATCATCATCATTAGTTTGCTTTTATTTTTTTACTCTCAATACCGCAAGATAAAATTTTCTACCTATGCGTGACTGAATATTTTATTTGTTCGTGTCAATTCGTATTGGATGCTGATGAACACACGATACCCTATACATCTATATCTTATCTTGTATTCATCAATACGTTAATGTTTGCGTATATAATATGTATAAAGAGAGTAGGACCCAGTTTCACCAGTTGAGGGCTTAGGAGAATGTACGGCTAACTGCTTCGGAACTCGTTAAAAACAAACTGCATGAGCTCAGGTTGACCTCGAAAGTAAGAACGATCACTTTACTAGATCAGTAACCGAGATGAAACTTAAAGGAGATTTTAAGTTTTAGATTCAAATTTAAATATTTATTATTATATTAATTTATTCCATTAAAAAGGTCGAAAATTTATTTCTGATCAACTGGATTAGTTTTTTTTTAAATTATAGTTGATATGAATTTTTCTGTGATTTATTTAAATTTTACCAAAAAATTTATAAATATAATTATTTTTAACTTCAATTTATTTTTTGAAAAGTTATTTAAAAATTTAGTAATTATTTACAAGTGGGGTTAACCCAATTTTTGGCAATAACATTTTAGGTGAAAAATTAACATTTTAAAAATTTTTTTTGAATCTGCTTATTTTTATGGCGCATTTATGATAAAAAATATTGCTAAAAGAAAAAATAAAGATTTCGATAGCTTTTTTACTTTTAAAAAAAAGTAATAATAAACCTCATGTTTTTGGATAGAATTTCTGTTTTATCTTTTTTTGAAAAGTACATAAAAAAAACGAATAATTTAAAAAAAATTGATCAATTTGATTAAAAAAAAAAAAATTTAACACGAGTATGAGGATCCCACTTGTTAATAATTATCAACAATTTTTAATACGAAAATTGAATTAAGAATATTATTATTTATTAATCAAGTTTATAATGACATTAAAGTTAGCAGTCACTTGAGAATTTTTTAATTATTTTTAACAGAAAAATTTGTTCCAAAAAATTATTTTTAAAAAATTGCATTTTTAATTTTTTAAAATTTCTACATGTCAATTTCTTTTATATTTTTTTTTTGCCATAATTTATTTGTAAAAAAAAAATTTTTAAAAATTATCAAATATCTGCTAAATTTATCATCATAAGTTTATAATTAGAATTTGAAAATTATTATTTCTTCACAATTTAATAATTATTTTTCTATGTTAATTTCTTTAGATCAAGATAAAAAGTTAAAGGAAGTAATATCATAATTTTTTGATGATGATAAAGTAATGAATGGTGAAGAAATTTAAAAGCCAATATTTATTTATGAAGATGATTGATTAAAAAAAGGTAAAATAGTTGTAGGTGAATGTACTTGCCCAAGAGTCATTAACGCTCGGTGGTGGCCTTAATGACCCTAGAGCCCAGAGAAGCTTTTATATTCTTTGTTCAATCTTTATATCCACTTCCGTATTTCATATACTAGTAAAACAGATAAACAAAACAGAGTAATAGTAATAGTATTTCCTTAATTTATCTTGTATGTATGTACGATTTGATCTTCAATGATTAACTACTCACAATCATAAACATTAAAAGTTAATTTGTCGTAATTTAATGTTGAATTGTTTAGGGCATAAATAACACAATATAATAATTAATGGAGTATAAAAAGGTTATTTTAAAAAAATTAAATTATTTTAAACCTAAAGTTTCGCACCATTAACGAAACAAATGTTAAACGCTCAAGTCAATTTTATATTCTAATAAAAAACTATTATTACGCCGTCAAAGAACGCTACTTTGATACTTTACGCTAGAAATTACCGTAAAAAAAGTTTAATAGAAGAGGATAAAATAAAAAAAATAAATAAATGATGAAATAAAGAAAAAAAGTAACTAATGACAGGGCGGTTATAAGTTTTAGTTTCACGACCACATTGATGATACAGCTAAAGAAATATTTTCTATGTCACCGAGTTTGTAAGACCGAAACGGTCTCGGTTAACTGACTTCCTCGTATCCACCCACTTGATTTTTACCATTCAACCATCAAATAGTTTTGATTTTCTAATTTTCTCACCCAGTAGCTTGGAATGTTTTTTTTTTTTTTTCGTCAAATTGTTTTATTTCCGTAATAATTCTTCCTATTTAAATCAACAGTTTAACACCTAATACATTAACTTGTTTTTCCGGTTATTTAAATCGTTTATAATTTTCCGGCAAATTTAAAATTAGCCGCTAACACGCAAAATAGATGGCATTAGTTGGCTAAACACAAACGGGGATTCCCTCAAGTATTTATTTCAAGTACACACAAAAGACCTCACTTGCATAGTTATGGGTTATAATTCTAAACATTTGAATAGGTAATAGGTTTCATTAAATAGAAATAAAATAAATTACTTAACAAAACAAACACCATTTGTTACAGTTCATAAATAATTCACAAAAGCGTATCTTTGAATCACAAAGACCTTTGAAATTTTCTAGGTTGATACAAATTTAACATAGGTTATTTTATTATTTGTTGAATATAACAAAATAAGATAAGTTAAAATATAAATAGCTGCTATTAAATTACTGTAGGGATGGATTATTAGTATCAGGTGAAGGTAACAACAACAGAAGCTGCTCTGTAAATTACACGTTAAGCCCTTGTTTCTTGACTTTTACGTATTGTTAACAAAAAAATGTAAAATAAAAATAAAATCTGAAGAGCCAAGTTAAAGAAGAAGAAGCAGCAGCAGCAGCTTGGTAGTTTGTAGAATTGGAATTTCTCAGTACAAGTCACGATTTTTGTCTGTTACGCTTAATGATTGCGGTAGGAAGTTGCTTGTATGCGGTTTATCCACAGCCGTTCACTGTGTTGTTTCACAAACATCATTATCAAGAATATTACTTGTACACGATGTCTGTACAGCTTATGGCACGCTTAACTCTTTACCATTATTATCATTATGGTCATTATTATTTTAGCAGCATCTCTGACAAATCTGATATACCGTCATTTACTGTTCACATTAAATCAGACCCATTCATTATTAATCATTATTCATCTTTACCATAACATCTTTCATAAATTATAATACTTTTTTGCTATATTTTTTTTTTTGGTTTGTTATTACTGTTGTTGCAGACTGGAGTACGATTGCCAGAAGGTGCAAGCGCAGCGCTGGCCAAGCCGACAAAATATCATTATTACCCACATAATCAGCATATGTATTTATTACCAGAATGCGCTGTTCAACAAGTGTGTAATGCAGTTTATGTTAGATTGAATTTTACTCAACCATTATGTGCTTGTCCAGGCAGATATCGGGATCCTTGTAGTGCATCGCTTGATGCCGATGATCAGCATACTACGGAACTGGTTACTGATCCACATACCAGGGTAAATTCCAGTTATTTTTCTTTTATAATTTTTATTCATTACCACTACCTTTATCTTTATCATATTTTATTTTCTATACTATCAGTCGATTGAATTTAAATATAGATATAATTCTTCGACGATAAATAATACTAATCCTAGTATGCTCTCAATTTTATACACTTAACTATTTTTTTTATATAATATTAATCTTTGTTATAATTTATAATTATTTACCATATATGTTATTAGGCATTGACATTAGTTAAGACATGTGAACCAGTTGCTGAAATGCGAGAATGTAGAATGCCGAGAGACTGGTCGTTACTTGCGTTACAAAATGTAAGAACTGGAAAATCGCATTACCTAGTTATCTGCAAATGCCCAGAAACAAATATCCTAGGTATGCTTTTTTTTATTCATTATTTTATTTTATTTTATTTTATTCCTTTTATACCTAGTACTTGTATTCTTCAACAGCAATTATTTAAAACTGATAATAACAATTATATACTATTGTTTTATAGAGGGTCCTATGAGTCACGATCAACCTACATACGCTAGTGTTCCGGGTATCAGCGTCTTCGGAATGATGTGCGTTCAAGGAGCCAGAAAAGGACGCCCGTTACGACAGACACGTAATCTTCTCGGTATAATTATCATATACTTATTCTTATTACGAATATTTAATTTTAAAAATTTAAATCTGTTATATTAGATAGAGAGACGGTAACGATTATCTTACGTTCTACAACGCTCAACAGAGAACGTAATATATTATTGTACCGTTTGCCTATGTTTATAGGTATGATTCCTATCAACATGGGAATGATTCCCATGTTATTAGGGATTATCTTACTATATGTTGATACTTCCTTACTCATTTTAATGATTTTTGATCTTCTATCACTAGTATGTTAGATCGTAATTGTTCATATACATTTCTCTCTATCATTTTTTTTTATCAAACATTCAATTGACCTTAAGCCCTGCGGGGTAACTTTACAACTTCCTATTTCTCTTTTAATTTTTTTTTAAGGAGATCCACGCAAAATAGTTAAATTTTTAAAACTTCCTGAAAATTTGTAAATTCAATCTATGGTAAAAGACCCCATTAGACATTTTCTTTGATTTTGGTACTTATTCAATTAATGAAATCGTTAATTTAAAAAATGAATATATTATTTATAATCTTTTAAACCTTTAGATCAAGAAAATTTTTAATTTTTATTCCAAGTAGAATATTTTTTAATTGAAAAAAAAAAAGTGCCACTACTCGGATTCCGGATAATTTTTATAGTTTCAAACAGTACAGCGTACATCGGGGTCGCAAAAATATAAATATTACAGAAATTAATGTAGAAATTGTAAAAGCTACAATTTATAATTCAATATCGAAAATAAGTAATTAGTAGCTGTCACTATAGTAAATAACGACTCTTTTATCTTAAAAAATTACAGTTTCAAACAGTAAAAATTTCAATATATAGGTGATACTATAAGAAGGGGGAACTCAGATGAGGAGAAGGGGGTCTCACTCTGGAAGAATTTAACATTTGAAACAGTAAAAATTCTATTTTAAAAATATACATTTTACAGTCCAAGCTAGTCAATAATTATAGTTTAATTTTTAGCGTTGCGTTTAAAATTTACCATTTTGCTTAGTTAATATTGACGTTGCTTATATTAGAAATTTAGTAATTTTATTTTATATTTTTTACATATCACACTGAGAGAAAAAAATACTTTTACTCAATTAACAATTTCTTGGTTCAAGAAATTCACTGACGATCAAATATTCTATTATTATTAATTATTGATTTCTGAAGAGAAGAACATCAATAGTTGTCTTTGGATAATAGATAAACAAAAGAATAGCTTTATTTAAATTAAGTAAAAATTATTTCAATCAATTTAATCATTTCCTGAGCTAAAATATTATATCCTTGTAAATTTTCAAGAGCATAAATTTCTTTGTATCAAGAAATTTTCTAATAAAGTATTTGACGATCAAATATTCTATTATTATTAATTATTGATTTCTGAAGAGAAGAACATCAATAGTTGTCTTTGGATAATAGATAAACAAAAGAATAGCTTTATTTAAATTAAGTAAAAATTATTTCAATCAATTTAATCATTTCCTGAGCTAAAAATATATATCCTTGAAAATTTTCAAGAGCATAAATTCTTGTATCAAGAAAATTTTTCTAATAAAAGTATTTTTTTTTCTCAGTGCATGCTATCATTTTTTAGGTAAGAAATATCAAAGTCAAAATTCTTAATTATTATACTTTAACATTTTCGACATTCACATAGCGAATATTACTGTTTGAAATAGTATTTTCTTCCATGTAAAGAATAAATTGTAGCGTTTAAATGATAAATATCATAAAGTGAATAGTAAAATCACGATTTTACTGTTTGAAATGGTAATTTTCAGCATTTGATCATTAGTTATTATAAATCGACTATTATTTATTACAGTTTACTTTTTTCCGTGTAATAGGGGTCAAAGGTACCACTAATGGAGTCTTTTCCCTTACGTAGACTAATAATTAATAAAAAAATTAAAAAACAGTAGGCTTCCGGGATATTTAATGAAATAATTAGGTTTCAAAATTGTAATTTTTACATGTAGGTAAATGCATAACAAAAGTATTTATACGTATTATTTTTTTATGAACATTCTTTACACTAGGAGGGAACTTGGATCTCCTTAAATTAAACAATAATTTTTTTTTTTTTCAGGTATCGACACAATTGAAGACGATTTTGAAAATTATAAATCGACATTCCCATGGCACAGAGTACCAGAATTACTAAAATCAGCAAATTGGAATTGACAATCGTGATTTCTTAAAAATACGTATACGAATTTATCGCGATTGATATTTATAATAATATAAATTAATAATTTTATTTATTATTCCGCTATCATCATTTTTTTTTTTTTGTGTCATTTTCACTATTTTTTAATCGCTATATATCATAACAATTTTTAGACGCGCCAATACTCCAGTATAACAAGTATATTTATAAGTTATCATAATTATTTTTGTGTAAATAAATTATGACGATTAGTTATTAACTATTCGTTAAGAATGATTCGATTAAATTCGGTAGCTAATTTATAAAATTTTATAATAAATATTCATTAAAATGAATTTATACTTTAAATAAAGTGATAAAATAAAAACTATACAACTGGTTTTGACATTTTTATAGGGTGAATAGTCATTAAATGTCCTTATATTTATTGAGTGTTAATAAAATAATTATAAAACTCACCAAGAACATCAGAGTTGACTAGAACGCTGCATGAGTACATCGGTGTCATTAGTCGAGGTCGTCGCATGCTGAGTCCACGACGACAGGAATCTTTGAATGCAGATATTAATTTGCCACTCACATCACTTTGACTTTGACTAGTACGTTCGCTGCAACTAATGATTATTATTATTTAAATTATTATCCATAAATATTTTTGCGTCAGCCCTTTGAAATGAATAATTACTTAAGAAGAAATAAATAATATATACCTTCCTGTATCTTCATTATCTTTCTTGATATTTTGATTGCTACCAGGTCCACTAAAAAAATCATTTTTTTTTTTTTTTTCATATTAATTATATTATTTATCGCTGTCTAATTAAATATTCATAAATATAAAATTGGAAAAATTAATAGTTACCTTTCAGTTTCTTTTACAATTTTTTCCCATTTTTTGACGATAAAACAGACGCCTCGCATTGGTTCTTCACACAGAGGACCAGCAATTGTTGCTAATTGAAATCCATTAATAATACTATTGTCGTACCTGAAAAAAAAAAAATAAATAAAAATTATCTATATTATTAAGAGAATAAGCAAAAGTTTGCGGCCAGTGTATTTATATGATAAAATGGGTTTTAACTAACACAACAATAGTCAATTTATTATTATAATTATTTAGGCTGCATTCAAAAATGCTCTATCTCTAGGTAAATAATTAAGAAATGACCTTGTATCTCGTGAACTATTGACATTTTTAAAGATATAAGCTCATCCCGATGTTACACTCATCGAGACCTTTTATTTGAGTACCCACATCAATTTTTCATATATTTTTATATATATATATATATATATATATATATGAAAAATATATAAAAATGAAAATATATCAAAAATGCATGTGGGTACTCAAATGAAAGGTCTCGATGAGTGTAACATCGGGATGAGCTTATATCATTAAAAATGTCAGTAGCTTAGAAAATACAGTGCAATTTAATATAATTAAGAAACGACCTTGTATCTTGTGAACTATTGACATTTTTAAAGATATAAGCTCACCCCGTCATTACACTCATAAAGACCTTTCATTTGAGTACCCACATCAATTTTTTCATATATTTATATATATTATATATATATATATGTATTTATGAAAAATATATCAAAAATGCATGTGGGTACTCAAATAAAAGGTCTTGATGAGTGTAACATTGGGATGAGCTTATATCTTTAAAAATGTCAATAATTAAAAAATTACAGTGCAATTTAACAAATATCATTAATTAATAAAGCCAAATTTTATTTATTTATAGTTCACAGTCGCGGCAGTCACATAGTGACTGCAAGATTGCTAATTTCTTTTAAATTCAATAGAATGTTGTAAAAAAAAATAAAATAAATAAAAACTTACGAAGCCCGAAAATCAGTGGAATATTTATTTTGTCTCATCCAAAAGGGTTGTCGTTTATAATCGGTAGCATTTATGAGTAAATTAGGCCCACACTTTTTGGGGCCAAAGGACCAAATATTTTCAACACTTCCCAAATTATTTTCTTCAAGACCTTGCTCAAGTTCTTTTTTAAAAACATTAACCTTCGAAATACTGATAGGAGAAGTATCATCTAGAGTTAAATTATTTAAAGTATCAGCAAGGTGTTCAGACTTTCCCATTCGTTCCCAATGTAAATCAAGCTGCTTGATCAAATTAGAGTTGCTATCCAAGAGTTTAGTCACACTCTCCGACAGCGGCTTAACGTCAATTTCAATAATATACTTATCACCTCCAATCGAGTGCTCGAAAAAAATCGGTTCATCCTTAGCTTTGTTCTCGATAGTTTCGTTTACCATATCGACGATCGGTGGTGGCACCACAGTCTCACGGAATGGAATAATCGGCTCCGATACAGTGATATCAACCTTCGCGTATCTCTGTTTGAGATCATCTAGACAGCGCTCTAAATGTACTTCACCAGCAGTATTAAGGACATATTCTCCAGTCTCTTGAATATGAACTTCAGCACAGCAGTCAGCTTGGTTCAACAATTTCAGACCGTCGATAAATTTCTGCAGGTCGAACGATCGCTTGGGATAGAGCGCGACTCTCAAGATCGGGACTGTCAGTGAAGTAAGCTCAGTAAACGAAGGACACATTATTGTCGACGATAACGTCGCTGTTTTCAGTACATGCTCTTCCAGACCGCCGATTCCCACGACATTGCCAGCCGTCACTTCATCGATGCTCTGCAGATCACGACCCATCAGCATATAGAGCTTGGTCACCGTGACTTTGGTTACATGCCATCCAGATTTAAGTTCTTTCAACGATTCACCCGGCTCTATACTCTCACCATTATTTTTTCTGTCAATAACAATCTCTGGATTATGCTTCGGCCCGAGTACAAACAACTCACTGCCTATTTTAATTACCCCTGAGTAAACACGAGCAAACCCAATAAGAATTTCCGGATCAGCATCATCTTCTTTATCTTCTTCTTCACAACCTGGATCAGTTCCTACTTTCTTTGTTTCATTAATCTTTTGTTCAGTTTCTTTATCATTTTTATCCAGCTTTTGGTCACGATTTTCCGATTCTTGATTGTGTGTCTCTTCACGTTTCTTCAGCTCCATTTTTTCTTTATTTCTTCTCACAATATCGCGCCTCTTAGCCAGTTCTTCAGCAGTCGGTGGTTTGATTTTAAAATCCGAGAACATTCTTTTTTCAACAGAAAACATTTTCGAGACAAAAATAATAACAGGTGCCTCTTCTGAAGAGCTGCATTCTAAAAAAGCTTTTTCCAACTGCCTAGTCTCTTCAGGTAGAGCTTTAAATTCTTTATTACCACTCATCAGTCGCTGAATTTTCTCCCTCGGCAACTGATGAGGCGCCGGTACATTATTACAAACCATATTAATGCACGCCTGTGAAAGCGGCAGCCACTGAGAAGCTAAAGATTTAAGTAGTTCCTTAAAATCTTTTGTTTTTTTATCACGCTCTGAAAATTTAACATCATACTTTCCCATCATTTCAATCAGCTTCTCCCTATCCTTTTTAATAAGCGTAATTTCATAAAATTCCCATAGTATATTCAGAACCATGGAAACAAACAGCGGAGTCTGTTTATTTTTCTGCGCGTTTTTTTTAATCCTTTCATTCTGCTCATCATACCAATAATCCCCCCACAATATCTTCATCATTTTATCCACGCTGTAATTATGAGTTTTATTGATAATTTTCGCAAAATCTTCAATACAGAATCCCCAGCAGTCAATAGCACTTGCAAATACAACATTACCGCGCTCGGGAGAGAAATACAAATTAGAATCATCGGTTTGTTCAAGTACCGACTGATACTCAGTTACTGGCCGCCGCATTGAATTATTTTCCAAGGTATTATCATTACTTACGTCATTGGATTCAGCTTTTTCTTCACGCTCCATAATATCACTGGCAAACAACTCACCCATAACAGCATTTACCTGCTCCAATACTTGTGTAAGGTGGATATACGCATCCTGGGGAGTCAATTTTCGCTCTGTTATCAAACGATCCATTTTGTTTAGCACCAGGATCGGCTTTAATCCCTCGATGTACGTCATTGACAAGGCACTTCGCGTCTGTGGACATACTCCTTCAATTACATCGACGATTACAATTGCTCCGTCGCACAAACGTACTGCTGTTGATACTTCTGAGGAGAAATCAACGTGACCTGGAGAATCTATAATATTTAATAAATATTCATTATTATTGTAACTATGATAGAGCGCTATTGAACTAGACTTCATTGTTATTCCACGTTGCTGCTCATCATCACGGCTGTCCATGTAACGCAGCTTGCCTGCAAGCTTTTGCGATATTATATTGTTGCTTGATACCAATGAATCAGCCAGTGTGGTCTTCCCATGGTCCACATGAGCTAGGATACATATATTTCTTATTGACTCTGGTTTCTTCTGAAGCTCTATCAGCTTGTCACTATCTACTGCCACCATCTTAGCAATTAATTAAATATTCAATTAAATATCTTGGGGATTTAAAAGAAAATATACTACTTCAATTAAACTATCTAGGTGTTAAATAACAAATCAACTAAGAGAAACGTAAAAATTAATTAGAAATTAATTTTTTTTTTTTTTTTTTTTTTTTAATTAAAATGGGTACTATTTCACTCTTAAAAGTTTCCACTGTAAATAATGTTCTCTGTATTGTTGAATAATGTGATTTTTTGAGAGGTTAACAGACATTTCACATTGACACAGCATTCCGATTTATTTAATAGAATATTCTAGTTGATTTTTTTGCAACTAGAATACGCGTTTTTTGTCAACTACTGACGTTTTTTGTATGATTGCTTAGTTATTTAATCAAAAATTTGAAATTTTTTTTGGAGAAGTTAGATGTGTAAACACACTGAACTTTTGTTAGGTTACTTGTAATTTATTTTCACCACATGTTTCAATCAAGCCGTTGATAAAGAGTTTTTTACTATCGACTATAAGTAATGCAAGTGTTTGACTTGTTCCACTGTCAAGGTAATACGCGCTATGTAATTTACTCAGTGAGCAAGTGATGACATTAAATTAAAGTTAGCTGTCACTTGACCAATTTTTAATTTTATTTAACAATTAAATAAATTATTTAAAAAAAATTGCATTTTTAATTTTTTAAAATTTCGACATCAATTTTTTTTTGCCATAATTTATTTGTAAAAAAAATTCTTAAAATGATCAAATATCTGCTAAATTAATTTTCATGAGCAAGTGTTGCAATTATACAAATTTTTGTTAATCAAGACATTTTGCTCGTTACAATTTTGATGAAAATTAATTTAGCAGATACTCAATAATTTTAAGAATTTTTGTAACAAATAAATAGCATAAAAAAAATTGACAAGTAGAAATAGATATTAAAAATTTTTTTAAAATAATTTTTTAGATGACATTAAAGTTAGCAGTCGCTTGACAATTTTTTTATTACTTCTAAAAAATTGGATTTTTTATTTTTTTAATTTTTTAAATGTCAACTTTATTCTCATTTTCTTTGACATAATTTATTTATTAAAAAAATTCTTAAAATTATAAAATATCTGCTAAATGAATTTTCATATTTTTTAGAACAAATTGTTTTGTTAAAAAAAAAAATAAAAAATGGTCAAGTGACAGCCAACTTTAATGTCATACAATTTTGGCCATATTTTAATTTTTCACTACGTCCATTTCCCCATTTCCCCGCTGTAATTTTCCTTCGCTAGTTTTTCGGTCAGCTGTTTTTTTAGTTATCTTGATTTAAGCTAGATGTCACTTGGATACAAAGTTTTCGGCTATATAAGGCGTGTTTAAGAATTTAGCAGAGTTTTGTATGCGTGGCGTGCCGTTGATTTCTCTTAATATATTCACTTGTCCTGAATCCTGATACTCGTTGTTCGACACTTGACAAGTATTTAATAACATAAATTCGCTGGTATAAATTTTTGACAGTAGCGTGAATAAAATACAATCCTGTATCAATCAGAATCTGCATCAAGTAAATAAATATTTAATCTATACTAAATAAAATTTACATTTTCTGTCACTTATCAAAAATAATCCTTATCCCTTTTTTTTTTTATTTTTTATTTATTATATATTATAAAATTTATGATTAAATTAAAATCAGTTTATTTTCAAAACTCTAAAAAAATATTGTTTTTATTTTTTGTTGGTTAAAATTAAAGCGCGCAATTTAAAATGTTTATTAATAATGAATTTTGTTTCAGAAAAAAATGACAATAAAAAAAATTTGCGGAATCGGTGCAGGGTATGTAGGAGGACCAACTTGTAGTGTAATAGCAATGATGTGCCCGGATATCCGGGTGACAGTTGTCGATAAGAGTAAAGAAAAGATAGCACAGTGGAACTCGGAGAAACTGCCAATCTATGAGCCAGGTTTGGATGTAGTCGTAGAAAAATGCCGTGGGAAGAATTTATTCTTCTCGACTGACATCGAGGCTGCCATTAAAGAGGCAGATTTAATTTTTATATCTGTCAACACACCGACCAAGACATTTGGAATAGGTAAAGGTCGTGCTGCAGATTTGAAGTACGTGGAAAATACAGCTCGCATGATAGCTGATGTGGCTACTAGCGATAAAATTGTCGTAGAAAAGAGTACCGTGCCTGTAAGAGCCGCCGAAAGTATCATGCATATTTTACGAGCCAATCATAAGCCAGGTGTTTCTTATCAGGTAAAACTTGTGACTATTTTATTGTCAATAAATTTTTCTAGTTGATTAAATTATCGTAAATATTATGACATTGAAGTTAGCAGACGTCTAAAAATTTTTGATTTTTTCTATAATTGAATTACAACTAAAAAGATATTTTTAAAAAATTGCACTTATAGCTTTTCAAGTTTTTTACATGTGAAATTTTTTTTTTTTAATTTTTTAATTGAAATTTTTTCAATAAAAAATTTCTAAAAATTTTAAAGTGTCGGCTAACTTCATTTTCATTAAATATTTCTTTTATGTTGTAGATACTTTCAAACCCGGAGTTTTTAGCCGAAGGAACAGCAATTGATAATTTAATGAATCCAGATCGAGTATTGATTGGTGGAGAAGACTCTCCACAAGGACGTGAAGCTGTTGAAAAATTGTGTAAAATTTATGAAAACTGGATCAAGCGTGATAAAATATTCACGACAAACACATGGAGTTCAGAGCTTTCAAAATTAGCAGCCAATGCATTTTTAGCTCAGAGAATTTCGAGTATCAACTCGTTATCGGCTGTTTGTGAAGCTACTGGAGCGGACGTAACTGAAGTCGCTAGGGCTGTTGGTTTGGACTCAAGAATCGGACCAAAGTTTCTTCAAGCTTCGGTGGGTTTCGGGGGCTCTTGCTTTCAAAAAGATCTCCTTAATCTGGTTTATATATGCGAGTGTTTAAACTTGCCGGAGGTTGCGGCCTACTGGCAACAAGTAATTGACATGAACGAGTACCAGAAGTCTAGATTCTCGACTAAAGTTATCGAAAGTCTTTTTAATACCGTCACGGATAAGAGAATCACGATGCTAGGATTCGCTTTTAAAAAAAATACTGGCGATACTCGAGAAAGTCCAGCTATTTCTGTTGCTAAAAATCTCCTTGATGAAGGCGCTGTTCTTCATATTTATGATCCTAAGGTATTTTATTTATTTTAAACAATACACTGAACCCTACAGCAAAGCTATTGAGCAGGTTCCATTAGAAATAATAGTTACAATATATTTGATATTAATAATTATAAGGAATAACTAGCAACCTTGCAGTCACTATGTGACTGGCGTGGCTTGTGAACTAAAAAAAATCAAAATTTTGTTTTATTAAACAATGACTTTTGTTAAATTGCACTGTACTTTTTAAATTATTGACGTTTTTAAAGATATAAGCTCATCCTGATGATACACTCATCAAGAGCTTTCATTTGAGTACCCACATGCATTTTTGATATATTATTCATATATTCATATATATAATATATATTTCAAAGATATAAGCTCATCCCGATGTTACACTCATCAAGAGCTTTCATTTGAGTACCCACATGCATTTTCATATATTTTTCATATATACATATATATATATATAACTATATAAAATATATGAAAAATCAATGTGGGTACTCAAATGAAAGGTCTTGATGAGTATAACATCGGGATGAGCTTATATCTTTAAAAATGTCAATAGTTCACGAGATACAAGGTCATTTCTTAATTATATATCTATATTTGGGTTGTTCAGTGGATTATAATCGATAAATTTCACCATTGGATTTATTTTAATAATTGTTTAACTTTTGTTGTTTTGCAGGTTGAAGAATCTCAGATTATTGACAATTTATCAGCTTTTGACGTTGATAACATTAAAAATCGTGTCAATATTTACCACGACGCTTACAGCGCAACTAAAAACACTCACGCTATTGTTTTGTGCACTGAATGGGATGAATTTATTGTAAGTATCTTTAATTATATTTCATGAGCTGTAAATAAATTATTATCTGTTGTATAAAAAATAATTTTTACGCTACTTACTACTTATCAATTGTTAGGAATTGGATTACGAGCGGATTTATTCAGAAATGACTAAACCGGCTTACATTTTCGACGGCCGAAAAATCCTAGATCACGAAAAATTACGAAAGATCGGCTTTATTGTACAGACCATTGGCAAGCGCGTATCCCGAATTACGGTTTCAAGGACTTGGGGCAGCCCAACACAGATGTAATGGAATCTCAAGTATTAATTGCATTTTCAATATGAATTATATAATCAAAAAAGCAATACTCAATGGCATTATTAAAAGTATTATTGTATATATATTTTTATTATTTCGTTCAGTATAATAATCTCTATTCTGTGTATAAAAATTGTTATTAGGGAATATTTGTAAATTTTTTATTATCTATTGGTAATGAAATAAAAAATATTTTAAATTTATAATTTGTTTGTACTTTATTTCTTCTTAAGTGTATTTTTGAATGTAAAAGATCTCGATGATAATCACTAAAATATTACCTTTAAATATTTCTACTAATCTTTTACAGTTATATCCCGATGTTACACTCATCAAGAGCTTTCATTTGAGTACCCACATGCATTTTTGATATATTTTTCATATATTTATGTATATATGAAAAATATATGAAAATGCATGTGGGTACTCAAATGAAAGCTCTTGAATAGTGTAACATCAGGATGAGCTTATATCTTTAAAGTATATATTGTATATATATTAAAATGCTCTATCTCTAGATATATAATTAAGAAATGACCTTTTATCTTGTGAAATATTGAAATTTTTAAAGATATAAGCTCAT